TGCCCCGTCTGTTAGTGACATATTTGTCTCTAGTTATCATTCACGATTTGCTGCAAGAAAGCACATTAGAAAATGAATTTTTTAATGTTTTCGTCTGTGTTCTACAACATGGTAATAATGATTCATGACATCTGAGTGACACGTTACGCTTACAAGCTGATATACATATGAAGTCATGAAACGGACGTATTACCGATATCGTGTGATATCGATTGATTAATCTACGTCTTAACAATGTATACTATATCGATAAATTCATGATTCAAGAGAAGATCCTAAACTTTCTGGTGAAAACAGCGCGAGAATGTCTTAGTCCTATATACACACCATTTAATTAAAATTTAACATAATCAACATTATTTTTTTAAAATGAAAATTATACGTATACTATATATTTTTATTAAAATTAAAAGTTGAAAACCGTGTGAAATTATCGGCGAAAACAATTTTGATTTCGGAATGGGCTGGACTCTGTCAGCCTCTTCATAATCGGAGACCCTGTTGACAAGTGTATGATAAAGAACATTATTTTCAGGTAAAATTATTGTGTGTTTCGTCACCATTTTACAGCTGACAGTGAATGTGATCGTTGTTGTCTGACACAGAATAGATTGATTCATAGCGGACTATGTATTTTCAATGCTCCTTTTGTTCTATACAGGAAACAACACTGCTCTCTAAAAGAAAACTAGGCGATAGTGAACCATAAAAGGTTTTAGGTACTCGCTAAAACCTTTCATCGTTCTATATTTGGGTACCATTCTCAGAACTTTTTAGATTCTAGCAAAGAAATCTAAAACTTTTTCTACGTAGTTTAGCACATTTGGCTAAAACCATTTTATGTTCCACATCTTTTTGCTAAAACTTTAAAAAAAATATGAAAATGGTACTGAAAAAAGTTCACTATGACAAGTTTTGTTTTACAGAGTATGCGTAAACTTTTCCCTTTACACAAAATGCTTAATGTATGAGATGTTCCGTTACATGGACAAGCCCATATGTGCATTAATAAATTTAAGTACCACGCAATAGGAGCTAATGTTGATAAAGATGATAATGTAATATGTATTGATGATCGATACGAATGTAATAAAAAGTAATGAATGCAATATATAATTTGTAATTATTCTAGTATTAGGTGCGAAATTCTTTCGAAAACGTCTAATTCAATTATTATAACCTAACTTTATCTCCGATGAAAACCACTTTACTGCAGTGCTATTACATCCGCTTTACAGAAAACTAACATTTGTCACATAAAATTCTAAAAATATAGTTAATTTATATTCGAAAGCAATTAAACGATACATTCGGATTGAGTGAACATAATGTTACGCTAAATTCAGAATCTTGGAACGGAAATGATAAACTTATGGAGAATCAATTTGCTAATCCGGTCAATGCTGATCGGAATAGTGTTTGTTCAATATCTTCAACAAGAGTTTAAACGAGGACCTTGAAAAATATCTGAGAATGAATGTGGCAGATAAATAAAACCAGTTAAATCCATTGCCATTTCGCAGTTATCATCGAAATAAATTTTCTGATTAAGCTTTATTTGTTCGTCGTCTGCTTTCAGTTCAAGTAACATTAAGTGGAGTGGAGCGATAGTTTTCATGTACTGATTCAAAAATCAATGAACGTCGTTAATCGTTTGATCCAAATAATATAAACAATGTTACTTTCGTCAGATGTTTTCAGACTTTTCTTGAATCAAAACCAGATTATTTTTCTAAACCATAGTTCTTTTACACTTATTTTCTAATGAAGCATAATCTGTTCAACAAATAAACTTATACTTGGTCATTTCATTTCTGTTTACGCCTTGGCTTAAATTTCTAATGTCAATTTGACAATTTTTTTAATAATCAGACAACATGAACGCATAAAACTATACGGGCTTTTATACGCAGACCATGCCTGCATAAAGTACTCCTGCTTGAATGAGTTCACCGCTGACATAGTTTACCCGTGGCATCGTACCTACGGTGAATCGATGGACCGGTGGCCGATGAATGGTCACCGTCATATCCGTCATTCTACCCTACACAGAATCCTGCACTGTAAAAAAAACTTCCATTACAACTGAACTCATTGAAAAGGTTTCCTCAGTGTCGAATAGTTTCCAAATATTTCAACATGCCGAAAAAATGATTTTGAAGATTTCCGGTAGTTGGAAAGAATCTGACGGCGAGTACACGCTCCAGACCATTATCTACAAAAAAGTTTTCAGATCGGTACAGCAAAAATAGCTTTTGTCGGATAATACGAAATCTTAGGATTCATCACTGTAGTTTAATAAGAAACATTAAGGCTTTGCATTGTCTAACAAAACCTTTTTCTGCTGTATAGAATTTGAAAAGGTTTCGTAGGTAGTGGCGCGGAGTCTGTACCCGCGATTAGATTCGTTTTAGCTTTCGCAGATTTTAAAAATCATTTTATTCGACATCTCGACGCGTTTGGAAGCTATTCAATATCGACGAAACCTTCTCAATGGGTTTTATAGTAAACTGATTTCTTTTAGATTGTGGTACTTTTCTATATTGATAGAAAACTTGTCCAAGATTATATCAGGTATTACATACAAATTATCAGCAATTTAAATATGTGTGAATTTAATCAAGCCATTCATACCAATCATAGAAAAATTGAGAACATGAATACAACTGTACAAAACGAAGAGAATAATTTCTTTTAAAGAATAAACATATAAATGAAACATTTGTATAGCAGAAGATGAAATTCGATGCCATTGAGAATCGTCGATTACACATGATTGAGCGTGCAAGTTATAGAAAACAGAATACTAGCGACATGGTTTACTACAGACGCATGATTAAAAATAATAAGAGACCCCAGAAAGGGATTGACACAGCAAAAATATAAATACCTACATTTCATAACTTTATCATCTGTCGTTCATTTTTCCCGTTTCTTCCAAATAAAACTAAGCAATCTTCATCTTCCACAATTTTTTTACCAATCTCTGTCCTGCTTTTATAATCTAATAAAAGATCAATTCAATACATTTACTCTCTTCCTAGATCTGTCTACATTATCATCTGTGTAACAAAATGAGTAAGACAACAAGCGGTCAAAAACGAATATCCAGAGTTTATCGGAATCTTTGTCATCGGAAGATGAAACTATTGGACTGTCTCCATCAAAATACGTCGCAGCGAACACATATGTGGTGGAACTGTCACCCAAAGCTAGAGAATTATTAGATATAGTCACGACCTGTAAACAACTAGTGAAATACGTGAAACTGATAACGCAACAGCATCTATGGACAAGTTGTTTCGTCTGGATTGAGTATTTTTATTTAGACAGGTTTGAACAAACCGATTCAAGATGCCCGTGGCGTTGCGTTGAAACAAGCCACGGTAGTTCGATGGCTATTCATGTCAAGCTTACTAGAATCGATTGAATTGTCCACTGACTACCTCAGATCAATCCTGATCAAATCAACAAACATTAGACAATCCATTAAGCTTAATGAAGTATACGTTGATGGACTAAAGGATTTGATTTGCCTTCTGTCGGTTTTCAGAGATGTTTATTTGTTGGCCCAGACCGGCAATCGTCCGTCATTGCACATGGCGTACGTTAGTATAAATAAGTTGTAACATCATTTGAATGGGACAGACGTTGACAAAGAGGGCGAATTGATCGTACTGGATGATCGACACGAAGGTGAATATTTGCTATCTTTGAACCATAAGAAGATCTTTATCATTTTCGCGATTACAGGTACAGAAGTTTTTTGAAAACGCCTGTTTCAACCTCTGAAATCAATTTTCTTCCTTTGATGAAAAACACTTGACTGCGGCAGCCCTTCATTCACTATATCGGAAACTAACGATTGCTTCGGTTCATTGGAGAAGTAAGGCGCATTCGTTTATTCGGCAACAAACTGATGATACACTTGGTGTCGATTATCATGATCAAACATTTCTGTCAGATCCAGCAAAAAATAAACACAGATCGTGGAAAGATCAATTTGCTGACCCAGACGACGTTGGTATTGACAGTGACAATAACTCAATCTCAGCGTCAACATCGAAGAATGATGAATTATGTAGAAAAATATTTGCGGATGAGTATCGACGATATTTACAAACAATTCAATCCATTGCCATTTTGGAGGGACAATGAAAGCAAGTTTCCTTGTTTATCGCTGATGGCTCGTCGTCTCTTCTCTATTCCAGTCACATCGGCAGCTGTCGAAAGATCTTTCTCTGTTGCAGGATTAGTAGTCACAGAGTGTCGTTCTTCTCTTGATCCTCGTACTTTGTATGATAGTCTATTCGTCAGATCTAGTCTAGACCAATGGTCAAACTTTTCTTATGATCCTGATGGGATGTGTACATTTTTCATGTAGAAACTGTTTCGAAATAAAGACCTTATCTAGTCGTTTAACTTTATACAACTATTTCATTGCATTTTTTATCAGCAGTAGCGTTGATCTTTTTATCGACATCTTACTGCTAATATAAAATCTAGACAAGCTTCTGCAGGCAGGCCAGGCCAGCGAAAAGAGAGCCTGCTGAGGGCTTTGGTGTACAGTACTTGTACCTGTACTAATAGTACTTGAAGTTGTTCAACCGCTGACTACAATGTTGTTATTTAGCTACTGAATGTTGTTTATTTATTTTTATTATGCAAAAAACTATGATCCTAAGATGCTAAATAGTTCATATGAGTAAAGTAAAAAGAAAAATAGAAAATACTAGGAAGAATATCGAAAGAACAAAAAATAAAGATGAAGATGAAGAAAAATGCATATATTGGAATAAAAACCACATGTTAACGGATAATGAAACGGGAAGTTAATTCGTGAAAAGAAAATATTTGAAAAGTTCTCAAGGAGTTGAATTTTGTCAATTTCGTAACTAGGAATAAAAGAAAAGTGGAAACAGAACTTAACCAATAATGTTGATTATTTTCCTGATGCCACAATATATTTCAATCCGTAACTTGAATGAAAAATGTTCTTTTTAACGAAATTGTTTTCCTTTCCAAGCAAAAGAAGAACGTAGTAAATAGTCGTCATTTGCCCATGCTTCTATTCTGTAGGTCGGACATTCGTCAGTCAGATCTGATTCGAATACAATGTGTATTTCGTCACCTTGTTTTACATTTATTGCTTTTCGAATGTCGTTCATTGCAACATAATAAACTGGCCAATTAGTCCTTTGCTTCAACCCATCTACTTCAACAGCACCATTGCTATTGTCCATAGAAGTTAAAATATATGGCGCTAAATAAAATCCGGTCCACATTGCCATATTTTTTTCTACAATAAATTTTCTTTCGGATCTTCTACATTTCTCTAATGGTTTCTTGCAATAATCTTGTAAAATGAAATCTTCAACAAACTGCGGCGTTTCACAAAGATAAGCATCTTTAGGTGGATTGAACATCGATTGTATTCCGATTTCTTTAATTATTCTCACCTTTGTAGACATCAGTAACGAGCAAAGTGATGAAGCTATGGATGGTTTTGGCCTTGATACTGGTATGCATAATGTTCCAGATCTATATGGAATATGTATAGATACGTCGTCATTAATATTTGCAATTGTATCGTGCAATACTTTAATGCATCCTTCATCCGTAATAATACGACCAATCAGTTCATGGATTATTGCATTTGGCCGGGGTTCTTGTCGATACCAATCAACATCTTTTGAGTAGCCGTAATGCAATGAAATCCGGCTTTTTTCTTCATTAGGTAAATGTTCTCGCAGAGTTTTCGCAGACTGATATGTTTTTCGGTTCGCATCAACTGCATGAACATGTTCAGCAACTCCATGTTTTATTAATAAACGAGTTAATGGCATATGAGCACCCGTTCCAATGTCTAACCAGACAGCTTTTTTCCGAAGCTGTGCATACTGCTTTATAGCTTCTTCGTACGCATTCACTCTAGGTTTGTCTAAACACATCAGCCAATAAGCGAAAAAAATCATAGTGATTAACGATATCAGCAAACGTTTTATTCTTGTCAGTTGGATTTTTCAATTCTCGCAATACAAATGTAATACCGAATCTTTCTTGTAAGGCATAATATAGCATCGCATAGTAGCGCCCCAAAAAATTTATACGATGTGATAACCCATACAAAATTTGCATAATTGCATATAGGAGTAATGGTGGAAGAATGATATACGAGCACCAACTCATGATATAATTATAAAATAACGGCCCTGATGAAGACATTGTGTTATGTTTGTGAAACAAAAGTATTTTCAATGAAAGAGAAGATAATCTGAAAGAAAAACTGTTAGTTTTTAGCATTTTACTAGGACCACATTTCGTAGAAGATGATTCCGAATAAAACCAGTGTGAAACCATTTAGTGAGTTAATTTAACAATTTAATTTTCTATGTACCCAACAAACATATGTTAAATGAGACGTATAGAAGTCCATTGCGTCTAGAAACTGATCGCTATCGCCCTTTGCCGATTACACAAAAGTGCTACCAGACCACTCTCATAAATAACTGTACCCTAGGGATATCTGCGGTTCATGCAAATACCACCAACATCCAAATTTTTGTCCGACGATGCTAGTGTATCCTACAATTACCGATACTTTGATGAGTTATATTCACAAATACCCACATTCGCCCACTTTGGTGAGGACTCAGAAAAAATATACTTTCAACAAAGTTAAAAAATGGACCTCTTCAACACAACTAGCCAAACTCTCTCTTGTAGTCAGTAAAAATGACTTAGTGAGCCTCCACAAACATCTACAGAATCACACAATCTACATTTCTGTCCGATACAATAAGGTGCTCACTTAACATTTATTCTGGTAAAACTTTCTCTGGAAGCAACCAAAACTATAAGAGTATCTATAATTCACACTCGATTGGAAAAATATTTTCATAGGGGTGTACTGCCATGTTTTCGGCACTAGGGAAATTCGTCGATGGCCAACTCGCCACCATGATGATATTGTTGATTGACAGCGTTGCATATGTATTTCACTTAATAGAAAAGTATACTATCATCAACAATCTCGTTAGTGGCACTACGTGAGGACGAGAGTGAGAGTATGAGTGAAAACAGCGCCCTCAAGATAAACCCTTTCTCCATTGATTACCGCGCTCAATTCTTTCATAGTGGGATCTTCAAAACGATGATGAACCTTCTGTCTGAGAGTTGATTGAGATGATCAATGAAAAGAGGGTTTCTCAGTTTGCGACGAATAATAAATCCCTTTTTGGGGGTTTATCATTCTACTGGCAATTTTTTCAGTGAACCTTCTCTTGGTCTTCCCAGAATGTAGGAGTACACTGCAAAGTTTGACCGCACTGCCTCTTACTGGAGCCATATGCATGAAGAACAGACGAACAGATAGATCTTCACATTTATACCTAAGATTATTCAATTAATTGACAAACTCGACGAGAAAAGTGGACCCTGACAAGTTCTAGGATCTGAAAGGGTCCAGTAGGATTTAGATGCCTCAGACGATCGAAACGAAGCAAACATTATATGAGAAAACGGAAAAAATTGGGCACTACATCTCGATTCCTAGGAATTCTCTATATTCTTTCCAATCCAATGCGACCCTGTTAAAGGAGAAAAAGACAATCCTAAATCTTTGGATCCTCTATGTCATTCGGTTGCCTTCAATGCTGGCCAGTGTGAAGATTCTTATAAATTCCATAAATTCATTGCACGCTACAGCTTACCTTGAATATTTCCAGATTCTACTAGGTTCTGATGAGTGCTGGCGAGGAGAAAAAAAAGATTTTTAAAATCAATGGAACAGAAAAGGATTCGCTACCGCCGGAAAATTCTAAATTATTCAATAGATTTCTAAGATACATAGAGTCTGGAAGGATGGAGAGATTTCACAAAAACCACAGATCAAGGATCTACTATTTTCCCTGTCTTCTTACGTTATGTTCGATCTATTTCAATTCTGTTGAACTATTTTAAATACTATGGATCTGACACGATTTATTTATTCCCCATGGGTCGCGCTTACTAACTTTGCTTATATGTAAGCCGCTTGTAATCCTACCTTTTTGGTGCACACGCCGCTAATGATGTGTGGTGTCGAATCGAATGAAATAGAGTGTAGTATAGAAACTTCACCGTTTATATACGAGGCAAAGACGGGCGCGATTCGCGTTTTTC